CCCAGCGCTGTTTCACCTGCCAGTTCTGCGACAAGGAGTATGGCAGCCTGGGCGCTCTCAAGATGCACATCCGGACACACACGCTGCCCTGCCTCTGTGCCGTCTGTGGCAAGGCCTTCTCCAGGCCCTGGCTGCTGCAAGGCCACCTCCGGACCCACACGGGTAGGCGCCAGGGCAGGCGAGGGGCTGGTGGGGCCGGGGCTGGGCCTAGAAAGGAGGGAGGGCCAGGCAGCCAGCCACACAGGGCTTCTGCTTCCCAGCGTCCTAAGGCTGCGGCACAGAGGCCCACACACCCGGGTCTCCCTCGCAGTCCGCAGCCAGGAGTCCACGATCGAGGTGTCGCAGGGCCACAGTCCCTCCAGGTCTGGTGGGGAGGTTCTTCCTGTCTCTCCCGGCCCCTGTGGCCCCAGGTATTCCTTGTGGCCAAGTCACTCCAGTCTCTGCCTCTGTCCCCACACGGCCTGTGTCCACACTGATCTCTTGTCATAACAACACCAGGCACATGGCATTCAGGGCCCATGTACTCCAGTGTGACCTCATCTCAACCTGACAACATCTGCAAAACCCCAGCTTCCAAATAAGGCCACACTCACAGGTACCCAGGTTGAGGACGTGGACGTATTTTTCTGGAGACACGACTCGGCTCACAACACCTGGCTAAGCGCAGGATGGACACTGCTCACAGGCCACGGCCTTCCAGAATTCTGGAGCAGCCGGAGAGGCGAGGAGGCAGAAAGGCCTGGCTTGGGGGTGAGGACCCCACACAGCAGACGAGGAGAGCGGGGTGGTTGTGGAAGAGTCAAGCAGGGGGTGGAGGGCACATCCTTCACCCTGCAGATTACCAGCACTGTCCAGGAAGAGCAGAGGGCCCGGCGGTGCCCAAGGGCAGCCAGTGGCTGAGCTGGACCTCAACCCAGGCCACCATCTTGAGTCCAGGACTTTGTCAAGCACACAGCGAAAGAGTGAGAGACAGGAACAGAGACTCAGCTCTGGGCCTGGCGCTGACGACACACACGTCTTGTCACTGGAGCCTCCCCGACCCTCAGGTCATGGGTCCATGAGTCACAGCCCGGCAGATGACGGAAAGTGGGGTTTTGCAGGAGTCTTTTTCCAGGTTGGAAATCCATCCGGCTTTCCTTGACCCCTCGCAGAGGGTGTCCCCAGGCACCCTGCCACACTGTCAGGGATCCATGCCCTGGGCTGGGATGCAGGCGTCAGGCAGCAAGGACGCAGAGACTGCAGGCTGGTGCCTCCCGGGAGCCTCTAGGGCTGCAGAACCAGAGGCCACTCCACGCCGGCAGAGCTGGACAGATGACGGTCAACAACCCTTCCTTTTAGACTTGCCAGGGTCAGCCTGGGGCCAAGGTCCCAACAGAAGGACCGTGTGCAAATCCCTGGTCACCCTCATGGAGGCGGCCTGGAGGACACGGGACTCCCCCCGGCCCCGAGTGCCTGGCTCTTGTGCAGGGCCCACTTGGAGATGCACTCGGACCCGGGGTCACTCCTTCCAACTACCTGTGTGGCAGATTCTGTGCAAGCCCCATGGGTCCCCTCCACTGGCCTTCAGGGGGCAGGGCAGCTGCCAGGAGGCTCCCAGAGCACCTGCCGCCCAGGGCTGGTGGCAGAGGCCCCAGGAGGGCTCCAGCAGAAGCCGGGTGCCCCAGCCAAGGTCTGTGCAAGCCCTTCACTCTTGCACGACCCCTCGGCCCCAGCATCTCCCCCTGCGGCAAGTGCCAAGGCCCCCGCCCCTTATCTCCGAGGGAGGGGCAAGGAGATGAAGGCATTACAACCTCCACGAGGGACTGAGCGAGCCTCTGCGGTGGGGCACGGGTTACTCACCCGTGAGTCTGGGTGGCCTTCTGCAGTGTTGTCCTGGCCGCTGCAACAGGCCACTCCGAAGGTCACCTGTCCCCTCCCCTCCCACAGGTGAGAAGCCCTACGCCTGCCCTCACTGCAGCAGGGCCTTCGCCGACCGCTCCAACCTGCGGGCCCACCTGCAGACGCACTCGGACACGAAGAAGTACCAGTGCAAGCGCTGTGCCAAGACCTTCTCCCGCATGGCACTCCTGGCGCGGCACGAGGAGTCTGGCGGCTGCCCCGGCCCCTAGAGACGTGAGGGTTTGTGCAGGCGGGGGCAGGGCCTCGCCCCCAGAGCCCACTGCCCCTGGAGGAGCCACGCGTTCTGGGGGGGCGGGGCCCAGCGCGCGCCCAGCGGCGTCTCCTTCCCTGCACGCAGGAGGGGCTCTCTCCTGGGGAGACTTCCACTGAGATGGGAGCCTCCATTCTGCTCCTCCCACTTACGGCTGCTGGGAGACAGGTCTCTGGCACCAGGATGGCTGCCCTCAGGCTGACGGGCAGGGCTGCCCTGGATCCCTCTACTGCAGATGAACAGTCTAGCCGTCCGGTCCACCTTCATGGGCAGAGCCGCCTCGAGGCTCACCTCCATCTGCCTCATGTCACGCGTGCACAGACGCACCCCCCACCTCACTAGGCTGTCCCAAAGATGGAGCAGCAAGAGGACTCACAGCGGGGGGCTTGGGCTATAAAGGGAGTCCCCATGGCCTGCTGTGCTGCCCCGCGGAGGCGCCTGAGCGCCGACAGAGGCCCACCCCCGGCAGGACTTGCGGGTGATCAAGGCTCTTCCGGCCAGTCAGGGAGCACTGCGCTGTGCAGTGGTTATGGGACGGGGCCTAGGCGAGCCAGGTGCCTTCCTCTGGAAGAAGAGGTGAGGATGAGAACGGGGCATGAACCGGCACCGGGCGTGAGGGCGCGAGTGTCTGCAGAGGGAGTCACCTCCCCAAAGTCTAATGCAGAGTCCGTCCCGCACCTGCAGCCCCTCTGCTAAACACACACACACGTCTTCACTGCAGCCTCCTCCGCGAGGTGCCAAGCCCACACCGCCTGCCCACAGTGACCCAGCCTCCCGCCTGCCTGGCCGAGGCCGTGTCGTCCCCCAATCACGCGAGCAGCTGGCCTTTGACCCTGCCTGAGATCCACGCCTTCCCAAGCTGACTCACAGACCAACACGAGACCCCATTTCTTTCTCGCAGGTGGCCTTCCCTCACCCCCAGCCCCCAGGCGGTCACCCAGTGGGCTGCCCTTGCCCCTTGCCAGCAGGTCTGAGCCGCCTGGAGGGTGGCATTCAGGAATGAGGAAGGAGGCCTGAGTCTAACAGAGATGACCGAGTCCTTGACGCCGACAGGGGACACCTGCTCCTCTCTGCAGGAGTGCTGGCCTACAGTCAGCAGTTCCACGCTGGCCCCGGCCAAGTGACAGAGTTAAGCACCTAGGTCCTGGTCCCAGGATGGAGCCACACGGCAAGCAGCAGAGGCCCCGTCTCTCCACTCTGGGCCTCCAGACCTGCCGAGCCCACCAGAACCACGCCGGGCCATGGCATCCACTGCTCTGCAGCCCCAGCCCTGGGCCCCCCACCGGACGTGTCGGGGCTGAAGCCCTGGTGGCTGGTGTGATGACAGCCACTGAAGGGGCGTGGACAAATCCCAGAGCAAACTTGGCCTCGTCATTGGGCTTCTCTGGACCAAGGGTGACCTTGATGAAACTGTCCACCCCGGAGAGCCCCTGCTCCAGCCTGCATCAGACTGTATCTGCCGGTGAAACAAAGATCCTCTGTGAGGAAGTCTCCCTCACATTCCCAGACCTGCTGCCTTCCCCCTACAGGGGTCAGCCTCCCTCGAGGGACAGAGGGCCGGGACCAGAGGCTGGAAATGTGCCGTGTAGCTAACGTGTCAGTCTGCTGGGGCGGCCATAACAAATCCCACCGACCGAGTGCCTTAAACCACAAAAA